TATATGTCGTATCTGGGGAAGGGAGGTAGATCAGTTCTCTAGAAAGAATGCAGAAGATTAGGGACATGAGGTGAGTATTTCCTATTGGATTCTCTGGCTTGAATCCTACTTACTGTGTTCAGCAAAGCTTGTTGTTCCCAGAGCACTTCACAGCTATATAAGTTTCCAGTATGTCATCTAGGGATGCCAGCCTCCAGGTGAGACTTGGGGATCCCCCACAATTACAGCTCATCTCCACACTACAGAGATCAGTTCCCCTAGAGAAAATGGTTTCTTGGGACATTGTAACCCACTGAAGTCCCTGTCCTCCCCAGGCTCAACCCACAAATCTCCAGGGGTTTCCCAACCTGCTATCCACCACTAGTGTCCAGGTGAGACCTGGCAACCCTATGGGATCCAGTTTGCCTCAAGAAGGACTTTACTCTTTCTGAAACAGGTCGAGCGATACAATTTTTTTGCAAATGTTATGCCCTTTTACAAGAGGATTCAGAGGAACCTCTGACATAAAGAAGGAAATATTTTCCTAGAAAGTTCTGTAAGCAAAAGACAAGGGACCTGGAAGACACATCCTTCCCTTTACTCTTCAGGGATAACCTAACAATGATGAGATTCTTGCAAAGAAACTGCCTCACAATTCTCTTTCTGCTGAAGCAATAAGTTAAAGGTTGCTTTCCTTAGATGCTTGTATAGAGGATGGAGTATTGTCAGGTTCAGTAGCAACAGCCCTATCTGAGGAGACATTCTTGTACCTGTTGGGCAACAGTCTATCCACATAGATTACATTTGAGGCTACCTCTACAGCCCTAAATATCCTAGTGGGTCTTATTTTGCTAAGGTTTTTACTGCTTAGATGGATGAGCGGAAGGAGTAAAAAGGAGGAAAGAAACGAACCATCTAAAGGAGCAAAAAAGCCTCACCAAATATAATGTTCTATAGCTTAGTCAGTTACCTACAATAATTTTAAAAGGTGTACACATATTTATCAAATTATCCATAGCTTAACTAAACTTGAGAAGAAATGTCACCAAATGTTGTTGAATGTGAAATTTTGCGAAAGATATGAATGATTCTTATTAGGTGGATCATCAAAGAATTTTTCCACTAAGGTTTAATATAATGGTGTGGGATCTGTGCATCACTACTGAAACACATAGGAAGTACTAATGCCAGCTGCTAGTGAAGCATTGTTGCTTCTCGCTTGCGCTGTGCGTCTTGTACTGGAGGGTCTACTGCATTTCACCTAAAGAAGATGAATTTAGGGGAATCTACTCAGAATAAACAAGAAATTCATGGAAACTCAAGAAATTCATGAGTTTGGATAAGAGACTAGCAAAGGTTTAAGTATGCTAATGCTTCATTTGGTTGGAATGATACTTGGGATGCTGAGTGAAAATGTCATTCCCTGTGATCACCATGGTCAGTGACTTTTTCCATAACAGCCATGGGCTGGTGGCTACAATTGACCTGGACCTAAGCAACAGATTAGGATTTAGACCTATCCTTGGACTTTCAGAAGATTATGGTAGCATGGAAGAAGTAGTCATGTGAATTCAGACATCCATGTAGATGTTGCATGTGGGCAGCACAGAGTATGTGATATTAGAGAATTAAATAAGTAAAATAAACAGTGATGCTTTCTTCAATGGCATTTTTTTACAGGTTATGGTAATTAACAGTGTCATAAACTGCAGTTTTTAGGATGGTTTCAGACAACTTCTTAATCCATTCATATGGTGGTGATCTAATTTTACAGGAATCTCTTTCTGCTAATTAACAGACAATCTTGTGCTTAATAGCCACCATTTGATAAAAGCTTCAATAACTGGTCTGTCACGTGAATAGTGTGGACCTCTTAATCCTGAGACTGTAATCGTAAACAGAGATAATTCTTTTGGAAGCAAGTGCCACTCAAGGGGAGCACACTTCCAGATAAACAAGCTTTCAGATTAGGTTTTGAGAGTCACAGATCAGAGATTTAACTAATTTATTCTCTGTGACAGGGACCACAATTACATTAGTAATTTCAGCATAGCTGTGTGACTGATGTGTCATTGCAAGCAGAAAGGAGAAAATATCTATCTATCTAGTACTGCTCATACAGCTATCATCGTAAGCAGAAATTAGAACAAAAAGAATATTTTAAGAAGAAAATATTAAATATGTAAGGAAGTGCAAAAGCTTATTTTTTTAAAAAAAACAGCATGTATAACAACAAAATTAAAAACAGAACTATGCAGCACACTGACAAAACACCCTTCTTGACTGCGTTTCAAAGCTTTGTACTGTGTGTTCTTTATAATGTGGATATAAAGAGGTTTGTAAATTGATCTTCCATTTGGCAGCAGTTTAGCTCTCTCTCCTCCTTTAATATGCACATCATGGCAGGTGTAAAATGATCAATAAGCTACTGTGTCAAACAAGGTTATTCCATGAGCCACCAAAAGCTCAGTGCGATTAGCTTCTAAGATCAGATGCAATGCAGTGGTCACAGACACAAGGTTATCAGGGAGACCTAGTCACAATATAAACAATAAAAAGCAAATTTCCTGTAATTTCCCATCTGAATCTTTTGGAATACATTTGCCCAATTTTGCAATACACTTCTGCAGCTTTTCCAAGAAAAAAAAAATACTGTGATCTTTTATCCTGTATCTGATTTCTAGCAAAATATGGTATGGTTTTTGTCCTCTGTGCCAACCCCAAAGTCAGTATCGGGGGCCATTACAGTTGGCCACAGCTCTTGCCCAGCAAAGGGCCCAACCTCAACCAGAGCCCCTCAAAATACAGCTGGCTTCCATTGATTTGTTTAGTTTTCTGTGCATGCTCCAGAATTCATACAGGACAGCACCATTCTCAGAGAGCAAAGGAAGAATGACCAGGATAGGAGCTGGAGACGTCTCTGGATGGCAAGTTCCTGGGTGAAGGAAGAGACAGAAGAGCAATGGTAGCTGCTCAGCATATCTAAAAAAAGCTATTGTACGAGCTGCAAATGTAGCAGCTGCTTCTCCTCTTCCTCAGCACCACCTTTGTCCCTGTTGGATTGGGGATAGGGGGTGATGATCACCCAGCAGAGCAAGAAGAACTGTGTTTCAGTGGGCCCACCAATGATGCGGACAGGGGAATGCTTACTAGGGGGCTCACAGAAACCTGGAGCTTCACAATCCTCTTTTACTAAAAGAGAAAGGAAGCAAATGCTTAAGGAAGGTAACCATGGTACAATACGATAGGAATGCCAAATACCAGAAGGTGGACAGTAATAGGTGTGAAAATCAGTAGCAGTATGTCATTTTATTTTAACTGCAGCACTGTGAATCAATGCTGAAAACCTTTGTCTGTAATTACTTTGAGCATAACAATTTAGGATGGCTTTATGTGCATTTTTTGAACATGTCTGATTTGCATGATTTTGACGATCATGTTGGCAGCATCAGAAAAGTTATGTGACAGCCTGCTGCCTTCTGCCCAGCATGTGCATATTAGAAAATAATGTTTTGAATAAATAGATAAATAAAAATGCCATCAGTATTGAACATCATTTAAAACTCACATTAAAAAAACCTGTGATAATTTTTTCAACAACTTGAATTCTAAAACATCAATGCAATCTTTGCAACTACTTCTACATGCCTGAAGGGGGTTCTCAGCCAGTGTCTCCCCATCCCCCAGAATTACATGGCAAACGACATTGGAATTATAAGGGGATGGTGCAGGTCAAGGGTTTTTTTTAATCCCACTAGGCGCAGAAAACCCATCTGGGCCCCTGGATTCACCTATGGTAACTTTTATTTAAAATAAATAAATAACCCAGCTACTGAGCAGGGTCTAGCAAGTTGAACCTAAATCTGATTGAAATAAAGTAGGCCGAAGAAATCACAGCTAAATGTTTTATGTTCCTACTAGCTTTTTCTGAATTGCGAGGAATTAATCCTCTATGACCTTACAAGTAGTCTATTTTGGAATGCTTGGAGAACCTCTCTCTCCCTACATGGTGAACATTACTCTGTCGGTTCTGAAGAACAAAGGTTTGTGCTTGAAGGGGTCGTGCATACATCAAGTCTTTCTCCACACCCCACAGTG